GCTAGGTGTATGCATTTCCACCTCAGAAAGTCATCCAAGTTCAGAGAGGAGACACAAATTTATGTGATTCCACTTTGTGCCATGAAATAATGGTTTTACAACCTAAACGCTCTCATGGTAGAAAGACTGCACCACCTCCCCGATCATTCTGACCTCCCACAGAGAGCGATCTGCGCAAGTAAATTTGTTTTTTTATGTGACTATGGCACCAAGTCGTTGTGCTTCGTCCCAACGTTTAAGAAGTCACTTTAGACAGTGGCAGATGTCATTCAGCACTCAAAACCGGGACACATTCTAGACAGCTTTCTGCTCCAATATAGCAACTAACATTCTACAATTCAGTTTTTTGGCTGCTTAGTTGCCCAACTACATGCCCTCCACTGCTGTGTCATATCCTCTTTTGCCTCTGGACATTGTTTTTCGATAGGGGAGAGTGGCTGTTGCAAAGTGTGCTGGTTGATCTGGGTTCTACTTGGTGTTATAAACTATGTTCCTAAGCTTGTTGTGTTATTTACCAGTGCACACAAAAGTCCCAGCTAATCCCTGATGGTGATTTTGACCTCAGAATCTTTCGATTGTGAGTCCAATTCGGTAACCGCCTTCCGATCCATTGAGATGTAGAGTGTGAGTGCACGCAAAAGGCAACCTTTGTCACGTTGCATTTACTCGGCGTAGATTTGCTCACCTTCCTGTGTGGTGGCTCTTTGTGAGGCCTCAATTAATCAAGCCCACCTGTCACCGCGATCCATCACAATTCTTCCGCTTACCTGCGTGGGTAGGAAAGATCGTCTGTGCCCCCGTGCGTAGCCCTATCAATCACGGCGTGAAAGATTTCCTGTCAAAACATGTCACCAGCCACCTGACACTGACTCATTATCGGGGACCAAGCAGGCATGAGAAAGTCGTCAAGGGAACATAGCAAGCACACGTTACGACTTGTGACAGAGCGCACAAGTCTTAACGCATGCAAGACCCACTGAGCTACATAGCTGTTTTTTTTTAGATGTGACCTGACCACAAATGATAGCCCATCGAAGTATCTTATCGTGTGGAAATTAATAGCAGCTAAACGTTCTTGAAGGCATGTTTCTAAATGTGAAGGGGAAAAACCGGAGGACCTGGAGAAAAATAGACGCGCCTATTAACCTGCTCGCTTACATATTCACCTGTCGACCCACCCAATCCCTTACTCGCAAACTCACGAATGCACTCAGTAATGCACTCACTCACGTGCTCAGCCACTCCGTCACCGTTTACGTGGCGTTGGCCAATATACGTGGAACTCATTGCTGGCCACTGTCTGCAGTTTGTCACAACCTGAGCCAGTTCCGCAGTAGACTCAAGATGGACATGTTCTGTAAAGCCCACAAAGTAAACCCACGGGGCATTCATGATATCTTTTTTACTCTAAGGATTGCACTTATGCCAAATGTGGCAACTTGTCTTTTCGGTTCGTTTATGACTATTTGTCAATGATTATTCTCATTTTGAGCAGACATACTTCGCCTTGATTTGTCCTTTCAGTTTTCCTCGTGTCTGATGTAATTCCTAATTTCTAAATTCTTCCGATCTGTGTTTTGTAGTGCACACTACGTGCGAGCGGTGCGCCCGCATGCTGTTAAACGGGGAAATGTGTGCTCTGGATGCCGCGCCAACCCCTGCATGATTTATATTTGGTAGCTGTGCACCACACACGGTGCTCAACTTGTTCGCTGATCTGCACGCTGTTCTCCTTCTCTGTGCGCCTTGTTGCGCTCGCCCAGCTCCCGCTATGCCTCCCGGTGGCAACACAAAACCCGGCTGCTTGCTGCTGTGTTGGCGTTGCCGACGCTGTGCGCGACTCCACATGACACGCACTTGCTTAAACGTGTCAGTCATACAGTGAGGGAAAAAAGTATTTGATTCCCTGCTGATTTTGTACGTTTGCCCACTGACAAAGAAATGATCAGTCTATAATTTTAATGGTAGGTTTATTTGAACAGTGAGAGACAGAATAACAACAAAGAAATCCAGAAAAACGCATGTCAAAAATGTTATAAATTGATTTGCATTTTAATGAGGGAAATAAGTATTTGACCCCCTCTCAATGAGATAGATTTCTGGCTCCCAGGTGTTTTTTATACAGGTAATGAGCTGAGATTAGGAGCACACTCTTAAAGGGAATGTTTCTAATCTCAGCTTGTTACCTGTATAAAAGACACCTGTCCACAGAAGCAATCAATCAATCAGATTCCAAACTCTCCACCATGGCCAAGACCAAAAAGCTCTCCAAGGATGTCAGGGACAAGATTGTAGACCTACACAAGGCTGGAATGGGCTACAAGACCATTGCCAAGCAGCTTGGTGAGAAGGTGACAACAGTTGGTGCGATTGTTTGCAAATGGAAAAAAACACAAAATAACTGTCAATCTCCCTCGGCCTGGGGCTCCATGCAAAATCTCACCTCGTGGAGTTGCAATGATCATGAGAACGGTGAGGAATCAGCCCAGAACTACACGGAAGGATCTTGTCAATGATCTCAAGGCAGCTGGGACCATAGTCACCAAGAAAACAATTGGTAACACACTACGCCGTGAAGGACTGAAATCCTGCAGCACCCGCAAGGTCCCCCTGCTCAAGAAAGCACATATACATGCCCGTCTGAAGTTTGCCAATGAACATCTGAATGATTCAGAGGACAACTGGGTGAAAGTGTTGTGGTCAGATGAGACCAAAATGGAGCTCTTTGGCATCAACTGAACTCGCCGTGTTTGGAGGAGGAATGCTGCCTATGACCTCAAGAACACCATCCCCATCGTCAACATGGAGGTGGAAACATTATGCTTTGGGGGTGTTTTTCTGCTAAGGGGACAGGACAACTTCACCGCATCAAAGGGACGATGGACGGGGCCATGTACCATCAAATCTTGGGTGAGAACCTCCTTCCCTCAGCCAGGGCATTGAAAATGGGTCGTGGATGGGTATTCCAGCATGACAATGACCCAAAACACACGGCCAAGGCAACAAAGGAGTGGCTCAAGAAGAAGCACATTAAGGTCCTGGTGTGGCCTAGCCAGACTCCAGACCTTAATCCCATAGAAAATCTGTGGAGGGAGCTGAAGGTTCGAATTGCCAAACGTCAGCCTCGAAACCTTAATGACATGGAGAAGATCTGCAAAGAGGAGTGGGACAAAATCCCTCCTGAGATGTGTGCAAACCTGGTGGCCAACTACAAGAAACGTCTGACCTCTGTGATTGCCAACAAGGGTTTTGCCACCAAGTACTGAGTCATGTTTTGCAGAGGGGTCAAATACTTATTTCCCTCATTAAAATGCAAATCAATTTATAACATTTTTTGACATGCATTTTTTGTTGTTGTTATTCTGTCTCCTACTGTTTAAATAAACCTACCATTAAAATTATAGACTGATCATTTCTTTGTCAGTGGGCAAACGTACAAATCAGCAGGGGATCAAATGCTGTTTTCTCTCACTGTATCTCTCTGTGCATTACTGGTGGCGCGCTGTCGACGGCACGCAAGCCAACGGAGTGACCTTTCGCATTGGTCATGACGTTGCACAGAAGACGTTTTCCTTCAAAGTGGCTCCGTCCTCAAGCATATGCCTTCCTGGGCTAGTGCTAGAATTGCCATATTCCAATAATACTCTTATTTAAGCGCACAACTTTATCAGGTGATGGACGCTGCACTTTCCGTCGTTTTCATGCAGGGGGCGCTGTAACCCCACACGCCCCCTGCATGAACGACGGAGGCGCAGGGACAGACGCTCGATTACGTTGGAATCGATCTGCAGACGGCGGTATTCTCGCACGGCCAGCTCTATGTCGCCTTATCTCGATCCCCGCAATCCCAAACAGGTGAAAGTCCGCATCGAACCGAACCCCCAGCAAGGCCATCTACTTAACGACGAGAGAAAATTCACACGAAATGCCCTTTTCAATTAAGTCTTCCAGATGGAAAATTAAGTCTTCCAGATGCAAAATGATATAAGCTTTTAATGAAGAAATACAATTATCTCATTCAAAACATAATACGGATGCTTGCGTGAACGTGTTGTTCGTGTGCAATTTTTTTCGTGACTTTCCTCGCCGAAGGCCGTAAATGGTTGTGAGGGGCGCCACAGGCACCCGCGAACAACCCCTAGTCTATATATACACACACGCACGCACACCGGACAACTGCCATGTAAAGTTAAACATATGTAACTTGTCTCCTTTCTCAAATGAGCCACAGGGAAGTGGTCATCTCCACCGTTTGCTTCCGGGCCAGCGGTGGGAATTTCCTGTGTCCACGGTGGGGACCAGTCTCTCCAGAGGACATCGACTCTTGACTAGCCACAAAACGGTTTAACATTTTTAATTTTTAATTATCAATCCTTGAAGGATGACGGGCAGACGACACCCTCCCAACAGTGCTCGAACCGCACAGCACCGTTTGTGAATTGTCCCCAACAAAACGTATTAATTCACCCAGTTCTCCATTGTGAAACAGCACATCTACCGGGACTGCCTTTATCGGCGATGCATTGATGAGCTTTTCTTTTTCGATCTAGGTTCATGTTATTTGGGGGGAAAAAATGGTGCCTTATTGAATCAAATAATAATGGCCATTATTTGTGTCGCATAATGACGAGGAATGAAATTAATTGCCCTTCACACAATTCGAAGGATTGTGACAATTTGGGGTCACGATTCAACTCAAGAATGGACATTTTTTTTTGCCATCGCAATGCTTTTAGAATTTTTGAGGCTGCAGGCTTCATGCAAAGCAGTATAACACACACATTGAAGTAATTGCTTCATAAATGCATGATTCGATACGTGCGTCACGAGCATAATAATAAATGTCGGTTAATGATTACAGTTATCTTGCCTGATAATCGATTAATCTTTCCTAATAATTTCCCAGCACAATGTATCTTGTTTTCCCTGCACCCCTCAGTGGGGTCTCCGCTCTTGATGTTGTCGGACAATTGGATGTGTTTATGTGTCCTCCCTTGTAGAGCCTTAAGAAGAAGGTGGATTTCCTGCAGAAGACCCTCAGTTCACCATGCCGAGCTAATGAAGCCATCATCCGGCTAATACAGGAAAGGTGAGTAATGGAGCGGGTACAAGGACAGAGATTTTTCGGGCAAGTGGCGTTAGGTAGCACCATTGAAGGTCGGCACGGCACATAAGGGGGTTGGGTGGTCAGCACCACGCTTGACGGCTGTTGTTTCCCCAGTGGCGATGTTTACACACCTTAACCAGGTCGAGTCACACACCTTAACCAGGTCGAGTCACACACCTTAACCAGGTCGAGTCACACACCTTAACCAGGTCGAGTCGACCTAGGGGAGGCCCAGGACCCGTTCAGATAATCGTCACTGGTGCTGGTGGCCGTGAGCTGGATTCTTACATTCTTCTTGCTTTAACCCAAGCCACCCTTGCAATAGAAGCAATGTTTCACGTGTCTCAGTGGGTTTATTTCTTCTGATTAAACAGGATACAATAACACGAACCATTTACTACTTGCATAGAACCACTTACTTGACTGACCACGGGGATGTGATGAGTTTATGTGCTGAGTCAACTCCTGACCATGATTTGTGTTCTGTGCTGCGCTGATTATTTAATGTCTCAACCCCTGGCATTGGTAGACATATGCAGTTGGTTGGTCCATATGTGCAATCTGTCCCAGGCTCGTGACCTAAAGTGAGTTTGTGGAGCCACCGTGTGGTAGCTCTTGAAATAACCTGACGTGATATTTAATGCAAAGTGGGACAGGCTCAAAATAGCACTCATGCAGTTTGATCAACGATAGCAGATGGCACCATACATTTGGTATTTATGACAAGAGATTAAACATTTTTTGCGGGGGGTGGGACAGCTTATAATTTTAGCAGCGCACAGAGGTGTGAATTGAATGTATAAGAGCTCTCGGCCCAGACCACCAGCTTAAAAGAACCTGAATGAATATCGCCAAGACCAATTCAGAGTTGAGAAAATGTGGCCATCCCAACAGGAAGCAATGTAACAAAAATACATAACTGTAGACCGTTTTTTTTTAATCATTTGGACTCGTCGGTCAGAGTACAGTTAATGTTTGCTGCTGCCGTATGCCTCTGGGAGCCCCATATATGGAGAGGCCTTGTGAGCACTTGCCCCAGAGTAATGATAATTTATATCTGTAATTGAAGATAATTTATCACAAAGTCATTAATGTAGACTTGGAAACAAACAGCTTTCACAACACACTTTGGTGTGTGTTGAGAATAGCGTCCTGAATTCACATTTCAGCTATTGGCAAAAAGCTGTAACCTTTTGGTGGTTTGGTAACTTACTCTTTGGTTCTTTCCGTAAAGTCAACCACAGAAAGAAAACTGCTGAAGTAGTCTTTGTTGTTCCACCTGATGAAGATTGCTCATGTTGCGATCGAAAAGTCGTGATTTGTTTTATTTTATTTCTGCCTATGTGACTTTACCGAAAGAACCAAAGAGTATGGATTCCTGCAGTCACAAAAGCCTCAAATCAAGGTTTGGTAACTTGTTATTACCTTCCTCTAAGCCTTGACCCAGTTTCGGAGTTCAAATCCAAGACACCCACTGGACATTAAACACGCACTCATGTTTTGCGTATGTGGTGTTCTTTGTGCAACAATCTTTTCACTGGAAGTAATCTTAATTTTGTCATCCGTGCCAATTGCTTCTCACAACGATGGTCACACGCAAATGTGTTTGCTGAATTCAGGCCGCCGCCTTGGTGGCACCGTAAGCGGCCGCATTCCTCCGCAATGTCACGAGTTCAGATCCGAGTCTGGGTTCGACTCGGAGCCCCATCCTTCTCACGGTGGAATAAACAAATTGCCTGCCGGAGAGAAGCCAACCGGGGTTGTCTTATGGAGAGACTGGCTCTTGCCCCTTCACGAATGTCGTATCGCCACTGCTGGCTTTTAGGGGACACCATCGGAGGTGAACACGGTCCAAGCCTCGTGAGAGCAGGGGAACCACTTGGACATTGACAATGTTCTTCACTCTAATGGGCTTTAAGAGCTTTTTTAAAATCTATATACGGGTGCTACGTTCCATTAGGTTTTAGAACAATACAGAGGAAATTCGATTTCTCAAGCATCTTAATGTGACCGCGTACCAAGATGCTGTACAGGGAGTGAGGCACTTGCGTGCGCCTTGGGGCTTGTGATAGAGGAAGGATTATTTTAAGAAGCCAAGGTGGTGATTTTTGTTTGGTGAAGAGCAGGCTAGCACATGGCAGAAAGGAACGGAAGACTTAAATATCAGAGGTCATGCTCAAATACAGTGAGGGAAAAAAGTATTTGGTCCCCTGCTGATTTTGTATGTTTGCCCACTGACAAATAAATGATCAGTCTATAATTTTAATGGTAGGTTTATTTGAACAGTGATAGACAGAATAACAACAACAAAATCCAGCAAAACGCATGTCAAAAATGTTTGAAATTGATTTGCATTTTAATGAGGGAAATAAGTATTTGGCCCCCTCTCAATCAGAAAGATTTCTGGCTCCCAGGTGTCTTTTATACGGGTAACGAGCTGAGATTAGGAGCACACTCTTAAAGGGAATGCTCCTAATCTCAGCTTGTTACCTGTATAAAAGACACCTGTTCCTCAGAAGCAATCAATCAGATTCCAAACTCTCCACCATGGCCAAGACCAAAGAGCTCTCCAAGGATGTCAGGGACAAGATTGTAGACCTACACAAGGCGGGAATGGGCTACAAGACCATTGCCAAGCAGCTTGGTGAGAAGGTGACAACAGTTGGTGCGATTATTCGCAAATGGAAGAAACACAAAAGAACTGTCAATTTTCCTCGGCCTGGGGCTCCATGCAAGATCTCACCTCGTGGAGTTGTAATGATCATGAGAACGGTGAGGAATCAGCCCAGAACTACATGGGAGGATCTTGTCAATGATCTCAAGGCAGCTGGGACCATAGTCACCAAGAAAACAATTGGTAACACACTACGTGGTGAAGGACTGAAATCCTGCAGCGCCCACAAGGTCCCCCTGCTCAGGAAAGCACATATACATGCCCGTCTGAAGTTTGCCAATGAACATCTGAATGATTCGGAGGACAACTGGGTGAAAGTGTTGTGGTCAGATGAGACCAAAATGGAGCTCTTTGGCATCAACTCAACTCGCCGTGTTTGGAGGAGGAGGAATGCTGCCTATGACCCCAAGAACACCATCCCCACCGTCAAACGTGGAGGTGGAAAAATTATGCTTTGGGGATGTTTTTCTGCTAAGGGGACAGGACAACTTCACCGCATCAAAGGGACGATGGACGGGGCCATGTACCGTCAATTCTTGGGTGAGAACCTCCTTCCCTCAGCCAGGGCATTGAAAATGGGTCACGGATGGGTATTCATGCATGACAATGACCCAAAACACACGGCCAAGGGGACAAAGGAGTGGCTCAAGAAGAAGCACACTAAGGTCCTGGAGTGGCCTAGCCAGTCTCCAGACCTTAATCCCATAGAAAATCTGTGGAGGGAGCTGAAGGTTCGAGTTGCCAAACGTCAGCCTCGAAACCTTAATGACATGGAGAAGATCTGCAAAGAGGAGTGGGACAAAATCCTTCTTTGAGATGTGTGCAAACCTGGTGGCCAACTACAATAAACGTCTGACCTCTGTGATTGCCAACAAGGGTTTTGCCACCAAGTACTAAGTCATGTTTTGCAGAGGGGTCAAATACTTATTTCCCTCATGAAAATGCAAATCAATTTATAACATTTTTGACATGCATTTTTCTGGATTTTGTTGTTGTTATTCTGTCCCTCACTGTTGAAATAAACCTACCATTAAAATTATAGACTGATCATTTCTTTGTCAGTGGGCAAACGTACAAAATCAGCAGGGGGTTCGAATACTTTTTTCCCTCACTGTATGGTACGAAATTGTTCACGGGACTGTGTTGGGCTATTGTGTGACGTTTGAGTGAATGGCACCACAGATGCATAGGTTGGAAACAGGTGGGATGATGTATGCACGAATGTATGGGTAGATTGGTGAAAGATGAAGGAAGATGAGCTAGTCCAAAATGTAAATGTTCAATATTAGTACATAACCATTAAGAGTAACAGACAACTGCATGGATGATTCATTATTAATATTATGCTTATTTACCCAGAAATGCCTCACTGAGTCTCAATACACTCTTTGAAGGTCCTGCCAAGTTTGCAGAGTAGGGGGCAATTTTGCTGCGTGTCATCTTAATTGAGTAATTTACAGGTAATTTTTCAACATTGGGATTTCTTTTTGCCAGCACCATTTACATTGACTGGGATTTTTTGTTTATTTGTTCTTTAGCTATGATAGGAAACCGGAGAACCCAGTGGAACCCCATGCGGAACAGGGGGTGAATATGCACAGTCCACACAGAAAGGCATCCAGGACATGAATCGAACCCAGGCTCTTCTTTGTGCGAGGCACTTGTGTTACCACTGCGCCTCCCCTGCCACCCTGTAGAGGGAAATTTAGTCGGTCATGGGCAGAGGAAGAGAGTAACCACAGTGATGCTGTGTCGGTTCTGCATACATGCAGTAGATAAGGCGATTGATTGATTGATGGTTGGGTTGGACCATGTGACGTGCAGCCCAGCGCCACTGGAGCTGCGGAGGCCAGAAAGGGGGCAGTTCGTGCATCTCGACCCGGACGGATTCTACAGCCCGGACACGCCGGAGCCGCCTCCCCAGCCGGGCACCTCCGCAGGCGGCCCTGCCAAGCGCAAGCACGCCGACGGCTTGGCCGAGAAGTACGGCCTCCACCCCAACTCATTCACACGCACACACACGCACTTGTGTGTTCGCGTGCACATACACACATGTCTCTCTCCCCGTGGTCTTGTGGGATTTTTCTCTGGGTCCTCTGGCTTTTCCCTCCATATTTATAATCAATATCGCGCGTTTAGAGTATATGGCTGTTTTGCAATTTTCACGTAATAAGCCACTTCGTTGAGCTATCATTTGTGGCCAGGTCCTTTATGAAGCGGAGCTATATGGCTCAGTGGGCCTTACCTGGTAAAACATTTTTTTTTAATGAGATGAGATTGCGAAATGGATTAGACTGATGAATGCACGTTTAGAGGAGTATATGGCTGGATGGAGTCGATGGACAAGTAGAAGGGTGGATGAGTCAACGAATGGATGGCTGATTACAGGGGGTTCAGCTGCGTTGCCATTGTGGCTGTTAAAAGATGATGTGAATCTCTCCGCAGGAAGATGATTCTTCATAACAGGTGCAGTGTCTCGATACTTCTTTAGAGATATTAGCCACACTTGACAAAAAAAAAACAAAGATCCCCCCCCATATAGCCTTAACCGACTGTTTGGGCAAGGGCTCATCGCGAACAGCACCTATGAAGGCCGACGCGGCACATGAGGGTGTGGGTGGCCAGCACCAATGCTGATGTTTACACACAGAACCTGGTACTCATTTGAAGCTAGATCGACCTTGGAGAGAGGCCCGGGGACTGGTAATGCTCTCTGATGTTGGCCGTAAGCAGAAATCGAACTTGTTAGCAGCACGGTGAGCTAACCGCTACATATATACTGCCTCCAAACATTCACACATGCAGCAGTGTACACATACCCACGCCTGCAAGCACGTGAGTGCACGAGCGCACTTGCGCAAGTGTACACGTGTGTACACATCTAACCACAAAGGCAAAGAACCTTTAACAGACTGCTTGGGCAAGTGCTGTGCGCGAGCGCATGGAATCTTTGCTAAGCTGGATTCACAATAGAATTGTGGCAGAAACCCATACAGTTATCTCCGTTAGAATCACATTTTTACGTGGGAATATAAATGGCCAATTAGAATTTGGGGTTGAAACATGGGATTTGAATGTAGTTCCTTGACCATCGCCCCACCCTCCTGGTATGCAAGTGTGATCAATTCCCCACAATTCACACAAAAACACATGGATGCAATGTGTAATGTGCATTGCTTGGTAATGGGAATAATTTTATTTTGTGCTAATCATGTGAAAACTAGTTATTTAAAGACTCACATTGCAGGCATTCATCGTTGTCAATATACGTCTTGTTTCCACTCCCGTTTCAGTCGACAGGCTGCCATTCATTTCTCCGAGCTTAATAAAATAAGTACCACTTTTGTAAGAAATTAATAGTGGTCATTCTTCTAAGTACAGAGTGGCCCCTGCCATTAGAATATAGAATTTATATGACTGGTCTCGGGACCACTGACAGAGTAGAGCACTGTTGTCTTGTTCGTTAGAGCGGGGCAACGGCAGATTTATTTTAGGTTTTACGGCTTAACAAGCATCTGTGTCGCCCCTTGCGCCAAATCGCTTAAACAGTGCTTGTTGTTCGGATAATGTCCGTATTGCAGGCAATTTGTGGCCTACGCCCCATTTGCCAGCTACAAAAGCAACAACGGAGAATGTATTGCTCCGTTTTGCCTCGGATGGTTGAACGGAAGGGGCTGCTGCTCGCAAGAGTAATGGTTTGCTGTAATGAAGCTTGGCACGTGAGGCTAACTGCGGTGTAAATCACTTAGGGGGTTGGGGCCTTCGTCATGCCTATCTAAAATGTGGTGTGCCCAGAGGTTAATTTCCTTACTCGCCTGCATTTTCGTCAATCTTACCTTTTAAATTATAGGGTAAAAATAAAAAAAAAATGTATTGCTTGTAATTTCTTCGTCGGAGCATTGAGCCTGCCTCTGACGTTGAGGGACCCGAGGTTAAAATGCGGCGTTGTATCCATCTGTGATTGAAACCAGATGTTCAGGTCGAATTATAAATGATCGTCTCAAGCCAGTGAGCTGCATGGAAGAAACCATAATGTAATCTCCTGGTGACCATACGTCTTAGAGAGAACTCGTATCTGTTGCCCACCATGAACCAATGCTGAAATGTTGAAAATTCCACCTTTGTGGGAAATGTAATTAGGAGGTTGGTGATTATTCACTCTTACCTTTCTACAAGTAAAGAACCCCCCCTTTTTTTAAATAAATTTGTGGATGGGCCACTGTATTGTGTTAAGTTGCATTGAAAACTATACATTAGCTCATACAGTGCACGGTCAATATTTAAAATGTGCTTACGTGAGGGGACATTTTACATTCCCAGAGCATAGGCCAGTCTATCGGGCAATGTTGACGCTTTCTCAATGAACCCCCTACCAGGACCCAAGCTTGTTGTAACCTTCGACATTGCTAGCAAGTGCTACTGCCGCAACTTTGGACGGGATTGTTACGCGACGTAAAATGTGGCAGCCTTGGCTGTAAAGCGTGGACTTCACGATAGTGCTACGTTACACAGCACACTCTTCATAATGTTGCACACGACACACACACACACACAGATGATCGCCACACGTGTAAAACTGTGTGCTTGTGTTTCTTTTTGTGCGCATTTACAGAGCCGCAAAGCTTAGCAAGGCAGCTCCTTCTCACAACAAGGCAAGTTCTCACATTGGACACACACACACACACACGCGCATTCCAACGTTTAACATTTCACTGCTGGATGAAGGGTCTCCTCACACATGGCTGGCTGAGAGAGACATTTGATCATTATTTCAGCAGTACAGGTTTGTCAAGGTGGGTGGGAGAATGCAAAAGAATAGGGTTTTTTTTTTCCTGTACTGCTGTCTGCTGCACACAGCACATCTATTGCACCTGTCCTTTGTGCATTGTGGTCACCCGTCTTTTGTGCATTGTGGTCACCTGTCCTTTATGCATTGTGATCACCCGTCCTGTGTGCATTGTGATCACCCGTACTTTATGCATTGTGATCACCTGTCCTTTGTGCGTTGTGATCACCTGTCCTTTGTGCGTTGTGATCACCCGTCCTTTGTGCATTGTGATCACCCGTCCTTTGTGCATTGTGATCACCTGTCCTTTGTGCATTGTGATCACCCGTCCTTTGTGCATTGTGGTCACCTGTTCTTTGTGCATTGTGATCACCCGTTCTTTGTGCATTGTGATCACCTGTACTTTGTGCATTGTGATCACCTGTTCTTTGTGCATTGTGGTCACCCGTCCTTTGTGCATTGTGGTCACCTGTTGGGCATTGTGGTCACCTGTCCATGCACTAATCCAGCCTCAACCCGGCTTTGTTGCTGGGGGGGGTCTGGCGGAATCAGGCACATTAACGGGTGTTGTGATCTTGGGGCTTCATGTAATTACTGAAACAGTATCGATCTACGGCAGTGCTCTCAGATTGCCTCTCAACAATTTCTGGTTCCTGGCCACAAGAGAGGTGTTGCCCCCACTGTGGGGTTAAAACGCCTCGCCATCATGCGATGGGCACAATGGACTGACCATGGGTCTGAAAACACCAAAAGCGTAGCCATAGTCACAGGGCTCTCCCACATTATGACTCGGAGCAGTGGTTCTTGACCTGGTGTGCACGCACCCTCTGGGGGTGCGTGATGCCCTTTCTGGCGGTGCGAGGCATAGCCAGATTATTTTAGAAGGTAAATCTTCAAAGCGCAAATTAAGCACGGGCACCGAAGTACAACTACTTTGGTTCATGAAACCTACGTATTTATTAACATTCTACATTTTTTAACAGTTGGGAACCATAGGGGTGCAAGGCTGTGGTAAAGGTTAAGAACTGCTGACTTAGAAGGATGGTCACATGGCCCAGCAGGAGCAATCCACAATGACCTGCATAATGAAGTATGGTCAAACAAATCCCATGTGGAGGCCTTCATCCAGCACTTCAGAATCAGAATATTTATTTATGCTGGAGGAATCCGATGAGCTATGAAGCTCGTTTTCACAGATGTCGGGGCGGGTCAGAAAGTTCTAGCAACAAACAACACAAAAATATGATAGGAGTGCAAAGTGTACGAACGGTAATCAAATCACGAAAACTATTTTTTTATTTTTCCAGATAAGGCCCACTGAGCTATAAGCCTATTTTACACAAGCGACCTGGCCACAAACGACAGCTCAACGAAGTGGCTTATCATTATGAAATGTCTAGCAGCCAAATAATCTAAATAATCTGAATGCATGTTTCTAAATGTGGTGGGAAAAACCGGAGGACCCGGAGAAAAAAATCCAAGTGACCACGGGATCAAAAATGCAAACTTCAAATATGCAGACGTCAGGGTCGGTATTGAACGCCCCCGACCTCCTGCATACCAGGCGAGGAATATACCATCACACCACCATGGCAAAGGGCTGTAAAAGCAGTGGAAATTAATATGACGTTGGCTTATGCTTGTATACCACGAACCATGTAGACTCACGTGCTTTATTCAAATGTGTTAATGTAGCATTTGTTTTTGTACAGTCATGTGTCTAAGGCGAGATGCAAATTATCATGAAAGTGGATGGCCATAATAACCTCAGTGTTGCTGGCTGGCTGAAACTGGGACACATGCATTTGCTGAAAAATATTTGTTATGTTGTATTGGGATGTTTTATACTACTGCAATATGCTCAGCATAGTAAAGGTTAAATATGTGGGTAGGAATAAGTGGACTGATGTTGATAAATTAGGTGGGATTTATTGTAATTTTCAATCATTTAAATGTGTGTGTGTTTTGTGATTAATAATTTAAGAATTTTTCAATTATTGAGCACATTATGTGTGACAGTGAATGTACTATGTGGAACACAACGTGATTAATTATTCAGTGTCAGCATAGATGTTTTCTTATTAAATAATAATTATTTTAATCTGGAAGATATTTATACACTTTTTTCAAACGGTGTTTATTACGCACAAACACTGCCATTATTAAGTTGATAATTTATAATAATTTCGGCATTGTTGAGAAATCATTTCTATAATGTATGCATGAATGTATGATTGTGTGTGCGTGTTATATGTGGGCAGGCATTTGTATTATGGGGAACTGTGGGGCAGTGATTAGTGCACTCCATTACAATCCTGGGTAATGGATTGCGTTCCCAACCATGAATATGTAAATCTTAATCTTTCCTGGGCCTCCCCCTAGGTTGACTCGGCCACAAACGAGTGCTTTCTCAAATGTTTCGTGCTTACACACAGATTTGGTCAGAAATTATGCTGTCCACAATACTCGCTTTGCGTGGTGTGATTGCCTTAATAGGCGCTGGCTAACTGCACCTTACGAGACAGCCTTAAAGGCTTAAGTTGAAGACATTTGTTTTACGTAAATGCATTATAAAATTTGCACTGTGACAACAAGCCGAACACATATGTGCTTAAGTACAGCACAGTTATTTTTAGTATGTTACATTTTACATATTTTGTACACTTCCAAAGCCACATTGTATCAATTATTATTTGCAGCTAGTACTGTCTGTACATTTGCCCGCTTGTACATTGCATAAGGATTTGGCAGTAAGTGTGATGATGTCATCGCGTCATTATTCAGGCCTATAGAGTGATGTCACTGCAGCATAGCCATATGTTTGTTTTAAGAGACGATGACGTCTTGTTGAATGGGTTTCAATATAAGTACAGGCAGCCCCCAAGATACTAACGTCCGACTTACTTACGAACGAACCGCCGTAAGATGTTATTATTTTTACCGTCCGACCTGAGAACGTTCGGTCGTACTTACAAACCGAACCGCGGGACTATTTTGTTCGGCGGAGCGATCCTCCGCGAGACGTAATGAGTCCCAGCACAACGCCCCTCCCGACAAGCAAACCAGCACCAGGACTCAAGTTAAGTGAAAATATATTTTTAAAAAAATATTCTTTTCACGTTACTTTATGTTGTAATTTTATTTACTCTACAGTATTTATTAGAGTATCGCATGCAAATGTACAATATTTCTTCTTATTCATGAGTTGAAAAATGATTTCACTTTTTTGTTGAGCCATGACACATTTCAGAACGGGTCTCGGGAGCGTAACCCGTTGGTAAGTCGAGGACTGCCTGTGAATGGGAAAGCACAGCCTCCCAATAGTTCAACTCTACCAATACGACACGGGTCACCATTCTGGACGATTTTGGCTCCCTTACGTTTGTATTGGACGTTTTGTTAATATTTTGGGCGCGAATTGTTGATTGGGAAAGGCGACGATTTAGCTAAAAATGTCGTGTAGAGATATTTTTTGTTGTTGTGTGACTTAGCGGTTTGCGAGATGCAGCGCGTGACGGCCAGACTGGTGCATCTTATGTATAGATTCGTTGGGTGATTGAAACTGGCAGAGTGAATTTACAAAGATCAAATTGTAGCATGCACAATCTCTTCATTGTGGGAAGTTGAAAATAAATGTGTGGGGAAAACAGAATGTTTCACCCCGCATTTAATGGCTTTAAAGTAATTGCCAAAATAGCATTGTGAAAATTGTCGTAATTTTTGTACTTAAAAGTTAGTGTACATTGATATTAATGTGTTGCAATTGCAAGTGCTAGCAGTAAACGTGATTAAAAAGTTTTGATTTAAAGCTTTTGTGACTGCAGGGATTCATATTATTGGTTATTTCGGTAAAGTCGCGTAGAAGGGAAACAATAAAATAATAAAAATATAAATCAATCAATATAAATCAATAAAATAGTTTTATGTTTTTTTATTATTTTATTGTTTTCCTTCTACGTGACTTTACCGAAAGAACCAAGAATGTGATTGAAAAGGTTAATGAAAAGTGAATCGCATAAAAGTACTCTGGAAAAAAAAGAACTGGAAGCCTGGGGGAGTTCTGATTATGTTCCAAAGCATTGTGGGTAATGCTGAACACATTTGTGGAATAATTAGAATTGCGTTGAATAATTAATTGAACGGTTATGTTGAACAAACGACTTGTTATATCACATTGTTAAAAAGAAATGTTGGAATAAATTTAGCATGATAAGTCAATTATATTGTGGCTTATGGCACTGCTGTTGGATGCCCATAGTCTGGAGAATGCATATTCATGAGTTCATGATTACCAGTGGGATTTAAAAAATAATAACACAATGGGCTTTGTCAATTTGTTTTACAACGCTTGCTTCGGAGATGGTGAAATCAAAATTTGTTGTAATCATCTGCTTGTCTCGTTTGTTCAGGTGTACGTTTGCATTTCTTGTGCTGTGCTATCTGCAGTTGAATACGTTGAAGGGAAATAGTTTGATATTCGCCATAACATACACACGTGGCTGGCAATACAATTATTTGTAGTAATCCAGAATTAAATTGCATGCGTCCTTGTATTTCTTTCATCCGTTATAGGTTAATGCTCATCAGTGCTCGGCTCGCAGAAATCTGATTTTGGCGCGGCAAGACCTTACGATGGGGGGGGGGGGTGATTCGCTGCTCTCACCCGAGTGGGGATCGCGTGCAGGGGCATGAAGGTTTATATGGGGATTTAGCGAGTTTACATCCTGCTCTTGGTCCAACTTAGCCACCCCGCTAGTCCATCGTCTCTCCTAGGGCAATACAATTAGGTCGTCTGTAGGAGGTGACGATGATTTTCTATATCACCCTGCCAGAGGAATATGGAATTTCGAGCAGTGGCTCAGAGAAGCCACCTGAGCTCAATTTACTATCCCTGTGGGTCATTTGTGAAAAGGAGAGATGCTGATATTTTTGGGTGCGTCAAAGGTTTCTATAAAGTGAGTGCAATGTGCATTGCAAAGTTTCGTAATTGTTTGCTTGCTAAAGATGCGAACATCCTCCCCATGTTAACGTTGACCACTTTTAGATAGCAAATTGTTATTCGGTAGTCTTTGCTTTTGTATACTTGTTCACTGCATTGATTGCCTGCCCCATACACAGTCACAGCGTGTCCCTGCCAGCATTGGCACAGGGATGTGCTCCTATTCATTGGTAAGCTTGACGCGTCCGTGTATATTTCATAATGCATACCGTGGGGGAGCCGGTCTCCTCGGTACAACCGCTGTTGATGTCACAAGACTGGAGATTGTCTGGCTGAGCTCACCCTCAATTGGAATTTGAACCTACGGGAATCTAAGTCGAGTGCTCTAGCCACTGTGCCACACAGCTGGAAGACGCGCGTAGTTAAAGTTGGAATTTAATTTGAAGCAACAATTTTATCGTTTTCATATAACTGCTGAAATAGCATTTTGTGGATTATACCACCGAAAAATATGATCATGTTTTTTTATCTAGGGTTTATTATGGTGCTCATATTTCAAATGTATTCTGATTAAATTGTGCACTTCTCACGTCGTATTTTTGTTTACATGAAAGAAAAACAAATTAACTTAAAATTGAACATTAGAAGTTTTCATTGCAAGAAGATAGCACAACCTAATCCATATTGCAAAAAAATAATGTTTAAGTCAAACCTGATAAAATGGCCAATTCTTATTCCTTTTGTAGATTACATTTTTAGCATGCATTAAATCTTTTCTAGTTTGGTACGAAAGATCTGTTTTATAATTTATCGTACATGGACAAATGCTTGATTAAAATTTCGTATGTGATATCAAAGCTGCTTAGCATTGCCTTTGGCACTTACTTTGACATGAACTTTGTGTTTCAATGTTATATGCTGCTTCATGTCAGGACTGTTTTATTGATAATTTACCCAGCTTTTTTATATTCTTGGTTCTTTCGGTAAAGTCACATAGAAGGGAAACAATACAATAATAAAAATATAAAACAAAATTCTCACGACGTTTCAACTGCAACACGAGCAATCATCAGGTGTGAAAACCACAGCAAGAAAATTTGAAAAAAGTGGCGGGTTTTTTTAACGTTAGCACCACGGAGAGCGATTTGGCAGTTATTCAGATGGACGAGTCCATCTATGTTCGGAAAAGAGGAGGGGGGAGACGAAAATAATGGATGCGGTCTGAAAGCCGCCGTAAGCGTGAACAATCAATTAAGACCCGAAATGGTTTATCAAATCCTTCCAATGATTGCTAAGCCAGAATCCATCTTCTCTGTTGAAATTTTCTCTGTGTTTGTATATGTGGATAGCCTCATGAATGAATCTCTCATGGTAGCCAGATGGCTTGCAAATAATCTCTGTCTTGGAGAAGTCAATGTCATGTGAGCCTACTGAATTATAACAGTGATCTGCCATGGCCGAAGTGTTGGTCCTACCGTGTTTTAGGTCTGCTTTGTGTTCACGAATGCGGTCCGAGACATGGCGTTTGGTTTATCCAATGTAACTACTACCACAGAGGCAACTTAGTTTGTAGACACCAGGGTACTGTATGTCCGGAATCACATCTTTTACAGACAGAACCAGATCACGGATTTTATGTAATGTGTTGAATCGGACCTGGATCTTGTGTTTATTCAAGATTTTGGAGATCTTTTTTGTGATCCCCGCAATGTAGGGTAAAGTGATGGTTTTGAAAAGCTCCTCAAGAGGGTCCTTCTTCATGGTTGGAGTGATAGCTTTGCGGATTGTGTAGTCGGAGTAACCATTAGCCTTCAGAGTTACATTGGAGAAACCAAACGACATGTCTCGGACCGCATTCGTGAACACAAAGCAGACCTAAAACACGGTAGGACCAACACCTCGGCCTTGGCAGATTACTGTTATAATTCAGCAGGCTCACATGACATTGACTTCTCCAATACAGAGGTTATTTGCAAGCCATCTGGCTACCATGAGAGATTCGTTCATGAGGCTATCCACATATACAAGCACAGAGACAATTTCAACCGAGAAGATGGATTCTATCTTAGCAATCATTGGAAAGATTTGATAAACCATTTCAGTTCTTAATTGATTGTTCACGCTTACATTGGCTTTCAGACAGCATACATTATGAAATTTCGTCTCCCCCCTCCTCTTTTCAAAATATAGATGGACTAGTCCTGGGTAAACTGCCAAATCGCTGCGCGTGACGCTAACGTTTTTTTTTTAAATAAATAAATGCGCCGTTTAAAAATACATTTATGCAAACCAACACACCTGAAGATGACCGTTTGAGTTATGGTCGAAACGTCGTGAGAATTTTTTTTATTGTTTTATATATATATTTTATTATTTTGTTGTTTCTCTTCAACGTGACTTTACCGAAAAAACTAAGAATATAGATGGACTCGTCCATCAGAATAACTGCCAAATCGCTCTCCGTGGTGCTAATGTTAAAAAAACGCCACTTTTTTCAAATTTTCTTGCTGTGGTTTTCATACCTGATGATGATTGCTTGTGTTGCAGTCGAAACGTCGTGAGAATTTTATTGTTTTATATTTTCATTATTTTATTGTTTCCCTTCTACGTGACTTTATCGAAAGAACCAAGAATATGAATCCCTCCAGTCACGAAAGCTTTAAATCAAAATTTAAACAGCTTTTGTTTACATTTCATGAATTCATATTGCTTTTTAAGATTTAAAATAATTATTGTTCAGGGATTGGCACGCTGTTGTACAATTATTTACATTGCAGTTTTTGGCTGACGTACGACATCAGAATAATTTGAGAAACATTCTAGGAGTGTTAAATCTTGCATAAAATTGATCCTGTCAACAAAGTGAAAGTGTCTCACTTCTTAAACAAGCAGTAGGGTGGTGCTTGCATCCTTTTCCAGCTCTGAACAGTGGCACATTTTTATGGTAATGGACAGTTTTTCACATAGGGCAAACACTTTTGGATTACATAGAGTAGTTGTATCGACCTTAGAGGGATGACTTGCTGGACGCTGTTAGACTTGGGAGGTAGGTTTTGTGACTATGCTATGCCTTGTGGAAGTGTTGAGGCAGCATTTCAGACGTGGGTTCCCAGGAACATTGTGTCGTGAAAGCGGAGAGCGCCCTGCACGTACTTAAAAGCCTCTTATTTACGTACGTACTTAAACGCTCATAATTAGACCATCAAGGAAGAGCCTTGCCGGCAGACATTGATGGCTGCGATGACGACGAAGCTGAGCGTTATCTTGTTCTCTTCATTTGCAGGATGAGAATGACAGCGAGGATGATATCAAGATGTCGCACTTTCTGAAGACCTCAACGCTGTTCAAGAAAAGGTCATACGTGGGCACACCCAAGGGCTGCTCGACAAAAGGCTCGGTGCGTACGAACAGGGCATTGACGATGCACGAACAGCGGTCAGGGGGGGGCCCTGATCTCTGGGATAGCCGAGCAAAAATATTTAGGATGCAAAACCTCGCCACCCTTGTCCTACTTGAAATCACCGTTTGACCTCCTTTTTTATTTCGCGTGCTTGCAGTTGCTGGCTACGCTTCGCAGATTTTACATTATGAATGTATTTTTTTTGTATGTGATGTGTTCTCTTAGCCTCGTGTGTATTTTTTGCGCCGGTCGTACCCCCCCCCCCCCCACCAATTGTTGATGCACGACCTTGACCATGTACAGCAGTATTTGAAAAATAATGTTAATGTTGTTTCGCCATAACCAGGTTTCTGTCACCGGGTCCCCATCGAAAATGAGCATTTCTTGATAAATGGGTTTTACCTCTGCCAACATAAACCCAAAGCTATGTCGTGCTGTTGGCTCACAAGCTCAACTGACCATCACACAGTTGAGGGATATATTGAAGTGACAGCAGAAGTATTTTGCTTGAGCCATTGGCTAACTAGCTGGATATGTATTTACATGAATTCTTCACCTGAGAATGATGAAAAATAATATTCAAGAGAAATACTAATAATTGTTCCTTTCTCTGTGTTCAGGTGCGGACAGGTTTTGATGGGATGGGAGGAAGAACAAAGTTCATTGAACCTGTATCCTTTTCATGCATTGTCAAGAAATATGGCATTATCAAGTATATGAACACATTTGTCTGGATATGGAATGTATTAATGTATCTCTTTCCTGCCACTGTAAGGTCACACACTGTACAATATAGTAACATGGTACTGCATGTTTCGAACTTGGAACATTTCAATTTCGCATTTTGGTCAAGGATTAGCTCAGCCCATCGTCAGGTCAATAAAATGAGTATCTTTTAGTGGGTAGTTATCAATGGGTTTTCCTACAGAGAGGCTGGTACCCGTCATAATTTTGTGGAATTCACACCATGAGTGCAGAGCCACCAGTGGAGATCAGCAGTATCCCACCCCATGCAGCCCAGCACGAATTTCAGCACAAAATATAGGTTTCAAACAGGAGTACTATACTAAACTGAACTTTTTTTTTTGACCAGGTAAGGCCCACTGAGCTCTTTTTCAGAAGCGACTTGGCCACATGGATAGCTCCACGAAAGTGGCTTATCGCGTGGGGAATTTAGAGCAGACGAACAATCTGAAGCGCTTTTTTTCTAAACATGGAGACAAAAACCGGAGGACCCGGATAAAAAATCCACGCGACCACAGAGAGAGAGAGAGACGCGTAAAGTCCAAAACTATGCTCCACTGAATGGCGGTCAGCCCCTTGACTCGCTACCGCTGCAGACCAACGTGACTGAAATCCGCCCGGTGCTGGTGCCGATTAAGAAGAAAGTGGGCCGTCCACCCGGCGGGCTGGCGCGGTGCCCTCACAAAATAACCGTGCCGGAAAACCAGCCCAAGCTAGACGTCTTCCTCCAGTGACGACGTTGCACCGCCACCACCGCCTTGCAGTTCACCCTCAACCAGGGGTGGAGCCAGGATTTTGACTTTGGGGGGGGGCTGACTTCAATATTCTGAGATATCCAGTGTAATGTTTTTCAATGGGTGCCACAAATGTATAAAACACATTTTACTGGATTTGAACGCAGAGTTTATTAATAGGTCGGAGCCGCTGATGTGGCTAATAAGTTTGATAAGTTCGAAAGGCTGCCGCTCAAGCAGCCTGCAGGGCAGCACAAGGTGGCAGCCTGCAGGGCAGCACAAGGTGGCAGCCTGCAGCATTTTGCAGCAGCCGGATATCCGGTTATCCCGATTACCGACTTTCCCAAAATTTCAGGGGGGCTGAGCCCCCCCCAGCCCCCCCTATGGCTCCGACCCTGCCCTCAACTCCCTGCCCCCACCACCCCCCCACCCACCTTGGCGTCCTGGGCATATCTTTTTGTATTTTACCAGGTAAGGCGCCACTTGAGCTATAAAACTATTTTTCAGAAGCGACCTGGCTGTCACAAATGATAGCTGAACAGAAGTGGCTTATCATCATCATCTGGAAATGTATAGCAGCCACATACTATGAATGCATGTTGATGATTCCGGAGGACCTGGAGAAAAATCCACACAACCACGGGGAGAGACATGCAACTCCAAATATACAGCAGCAGGCGTCAGAGTCAGGATCGAACCCACGTCCTCTGGTATACCAGGCGAGGTAGTTAACATCTCATAGCCACCGTGATAATGATGATGAGAGAGAGACACAAACTCCAAATATACAGCACGCGTCAGGGTCGAGATCGAACCCACGTCCTCTGGTATACCAGGCGAGGTAGTTAACATCTCATAGCCACCATGATAATGATGATGAGAGAGAGACACAAACTCCAAATATACAGCAGCAGGCGTCAGGGTCGAGATCGAACCCACGTCCTCTTGTATACCAAGCGAGGTAGTTAACATCTCATAGCCACCGTGATAATGATGATGAGAGAGAGACACAAACTCCAAATGTACAGCACGCGTCAGGGTCGAGATCGAACCCACGTCCTCTTGTATACCAAGCGAGGTAGTTAACATCTCATAGCCACCGTGGTGCCCCAGTCATTGGCAACCTGTGGCTCCAGAGCCACATGCGGTTGCTCTTTAAGGACTGCTTCTTGTGACCGTTATTTATTGAGGACCGCCACCGTCTCTCATCCCACCCGACATGTGGGTCACGGACCCCCCTGGTGGTCTGAAGGGCTGCTACAGACGGGTCCGCGGAAAAGAAAAGCAATGACGTCCGTCGCCAAGGAATGTGCAATTTTAAAAGTCCGTCGTACTTTTGCGGGGTGTACGGAACGAGCATTTTTTTTGTGAAGGTCAAGGGGGGCAGTCCTACGGAGAGAATGAAAATTCCAGACTACTTGGGGGCATTCAACTGTTCTGCCCTGTGGCTTGTTCAGATGTGAAAACGCTTTTACTCTTGTCAATAGCTAACGTGGGTCATGGTTACAATTTGTGACCATAGCAATTGACTCGCAGTTGGAAAGTGAATTTGGAGCCTGTTCTTGGGTTCTAGTTGTATTAATGCCCTTTTTAACTATTTGGGAAACCCTCGGACACTTTTTTTTTACAGGAAGGCTCTGCATTGGCACGTTTAGCCAATTGTGTTAAGTGTTTGGCATGTGGCAGGAAATCTTGAGTACCCAATATTTAGTTTCAATTCACATAGACCAGATACGTGCAATCAATTTGGATGCAAACCCATTCTTGCTAAGCCATCTTAAAGCCACCTAGGGCTTAGGTTGACTCTGTCCATATATTCGCAACCTCAGTGCTGTATTGTTGGAAGTCAACCATCAGCGGTTGTCGTATGCAGAGAGCATGGGAGTAAAGTTTACATTCCTGCCTCAGGGCAACCAGCGCAGGTGAACGGTAGCTCAATGCTCGCTTAAGCAGCCTGCTGGAGACGCTGATGAGTCGGGTAATACGAATGCTCATCGTGTGTGTCATTTGTCAAGTGGAATATTCGATGGACTAGAATGCAAAGAGGAACATTCCAAAACAAATTATTATATGACCAAAAACTCTGAACAGTTTCTTTAGATGGTTGACTCCATTTGTGAGAAGAATACTTGTGATGTGTTAGTTGGAATATGTTGGTGTTAGCTGGAACATTTATATTGTTGCTGGTTGGTGTGATGGCCCAAACACCACCATTTGGTTACATCTGTATTTGCAACAGGAGTTGTTTACCACATTACGACCAATTTTTCTTAATTCTTAAATGTCAGTTATTGATGGATTTTCGAATTATAAATATCACGTTATGACCAGGTGGTGCAGTGTCAGAGCATTCGCAAAGGTTGGAAACTGAAATCCTTGTCAGGGGTCAACTTTGTCAGCCCTCTATATCATTAACATGAGCACCACTTTATGCGAAATAATTATCTCAGGGCTACCAACAGAGATGTGATCGCCACCCACTGCTGTGCTAAGCATTGAGACATCAGTGCTCCCGAACCCGGTATGCAGGAGGGGCGTGGGTTCGATTCCCCACCCCCTGACGTCTGTATATTTGGTGTTTGCATGTTCTCGCCGTGGTCGCGTGGATTTTTCTCCGGGTCCTCCGGTTTTTTCCTCCACATTTAAGAAGCGCGGATTTAGAATATTTGTCTGCTATAAATTTCCACATGATAAGCCACTTCGTTGAGCTATCATTTGTGGCCAGCTCGCTTCTGTAAAAGAGCTACATTGCTCAGTGGGCCTTACCTGGTAGAATAAAATTGGTTTCGTTGTAGCTTTTTAGTTTATAGATTTGTGATACAAAAGTTATTTACCTTTAAGAGCCCGAATCACTCTGGTCTTGAATCAAGCCACACAATTCTCCATAGCTTTATAAGACAATTCGTGCCCACGTAAGTGATTAGAATTGATCAGAAAGCCTGCATTTTAACAACTACAACAACATCTTCTTTGGTTCTTTCGGTAAAGTCACGTAGAATGAGAATAAAATAATAAATTGATAAAATAAAATAATAATATTCTCACGACGTTTCGGCCACAACACAAGAGGACTCCAGCGCTGTCCTACCAGACAGTCTCGTCCCTTCACCTGATGAAGGCCGCTTGTGTTGTGGCCGAAACGTCGTGAGAATATTATTGTGTTATTTTATTTTATCAATGTATTATTTTATTCTCATTCTACGTGACTTTACCGAAAGAACCAAAGAAGATGAATCATTGCAGTCACGAAAGCTTTAAATCGAAACTACAACAACACTTTGATCAGACTGTGTGCGTGTACATTTGTTGACTCGTCCGTGAAGCTTCACAGGGTGGACCAGACTTGTTGGCCCTGTGATTGCCAGTTATTGGAACATATTTGTACATTATTAGGAGCCTCGAAAAGATGTAGATTGAGCATTTTCAAATTCTACTTGAACGCGTATCTATTTTTAAATGCATTGTGGTTATTGTTTTGTATATTCTGGACACATGATATTTCCCGAGGCGATATAATTTGTGTGCTTACATGCTTTCTCTTTCATTCAAAGTCTTCGAATCTGTTTTTGTTCACCCATTTCAAAACTTTCCAGATGTTCTTACATATAAATACAGCAGTCCATCAACATTGTATAACATGCGAGAATTTAATAAAATGCTATTTCTTTACTCGGTTCTTTCGGTAAAGTCACGTAGATAGAAAATACGTTTCGATCGCAACACAAGCAACCGGTCATCAGGTGAGACAAATAGAGCAGGAGAACTGCTGACGAAGGAGGATCTCCTGCTGTGTTTGTCTCACCCGAGGACGTTTGATTGTGTTGCGATCGAAACGTCGTGATCTATTAATTTTCTATCTCTACGTTAATTTAGTCGAAAGAACCAAAAAGAGTGGATTCCTGCAGTCACGATGGCAATTTCTTTGTATGGCTGTTTTTTTTTCTCCCGTCGTCAGTATTTACTCAATTTGTGTTCATTCAATTTGCGACCTATGTCAGATTGCATATTTTAGTACCTCCAACACCAAAGGTACTTCTGCTTCCAGCGCCCTTATTACATTACGCTTAGCAGATTCTGGCCCCTTTGAACTGGCGCGTGTGAGGGACGCCAGAAATTCAATGACAGGATAGAGTCATAATTCCATTGCATCGTAACGTAAGCAACACGTTCTAGAATATGGACAGCCGTGCAGGCATGGCGCAGCGCTGGTTCCCAGGACAGGCATTGGAGTGGCACCACAAGTTAGCTAAACCGGTGGTGATCAGACCAAGGCCGATACGTTGCAGGTTCTGGCACAAGGATGGATTGGTGAGGTGGAATGAACGGCGCTGAGCCATAATGACTTTGTGAACTTGACTGTTCACATTTGCATTTAAAAATGCTCATTTGTAATAACTGCCACGCGCCGTGGTTTTTGGAGCACTCAACTTAGTCTGGAGCTCGTACATTTAAAGTCCCTATTGGGTTAAAGTCAGCCAAGCTTAATAGTGGCAGTCCTACGGAGAAAGTGTCTCCTACCATGACAATGTGGAATTTCCATCGCTGGTGGAGAGAGGGGAGCGCTTTTCCATTTTTTTTCCATTTATTTTGGTATGGAAACTGATCTAATAACCAAATGTACTTTTGAACGGTTGTTGAACAACAGTTGGAACAATTGAACGGCAGAGGGCACTGAAGTCCCACCGAAGGGCTCTTGATTTCACACTCGGGCAAGATTGTGGACTGCAGAGCGCCTTCGATACGTTTTTTTTTAAATCCACGGCAGCACTTTGAATGCAAACCCGCGTACTTCATTCACCGTGCAGCTTTCTTAAAACCCCAGGGCATGGAGGGGGGGGGGGGGGGGGTCGACAACCAAAATAAGGAATTCGGTAAAAAGTCGCTATTTCAAGAGCCGCAATGCTCTGCGGTGAATCCGAGGCGACGGTGCTGGCTAAATAACGTCACGGCCCTTGAGGAGCCGTCGCAGTTTGCCGGCCCACTGCCCGAGAGAAACCTGCCCACGAGTTATATATATATAGAATGTATAAGGTGGAAATATAATTGTGCCATTCAAAAGGTGTGCTGCAATGTCTCTTACGCTTCACGACTCCACCGGCATCTGGTGTGTTCATCCCAGT